TTAGACCACTGTTTTTATTTGTTTCTTTCTTTGTCTGTTTCCAGATGACTGATGAAACTTCCACCTGACCAAGCGCCCGCGCCCGGGAGGGTCGCCACCCCAGTTGCCCCTCGAAGACCACCCTCGGCTCGAGGTGCCGAGCCGTGCCTCGAACTCCTTCCAAATACTGTAGTTTGTAAATCTTAAGGCCACTACAATGATACTTGATTAGTGAAGATGTCTGACGTGAGTGACTTGAGTGTGATGTGCAAAGCAGCCTGTGCTGTCTGAATTAAATGCCAGTTTGCGAATAAATGTACTATTTGTGAAAAAATTACGGGTTCTATTAACTTCAACTGAGAGCCATTGATCGGTCACAATTTATTAACCATCTCTTGAAACATGAGATGTGTATTAAAATCAATTAAAATTAGAATTACAGAAAAATTTTCCATAAGAATGAAAGAACAGATTTTCACATATACTGTAGCATGATTAACAGTAAAAAAATAAAGGAAGATTTAAAAAAAAAAAAAACACTGTTAGAAAACAGTCAAATTGATTAACATCACATTTCTCATAATTTCTGACGGATTTCTGGGATGTCTAATGTAATGATTGGTCCTTCAGCAACATCGACAACTGTGGCACTCACTATCCACTCATCTTTGTACATCGCCTTTAACTTCTTGATCTGATCTTCAGTTAAATCAGCTCCTGAAGACAAATTAAATTAGTGAAGTGGGTAAATTCAAAGTTAGGGTCATTGCACTGAAAAACTTTACTTACCAGAGAGGACACACATTGAAGAAAGTGCAGGAACTTTCATAAACTCTTCTTTAAATGGACGAATATTTGCTAGAGGTATACTGTCAATGTTTCCATATTCCAAGAACATGACATTAAATTTGCCATTGTCTTCAGGATACAGGCAAACTGCACGGTACCAGGCGTCATCTAAACAAACAAAATTGTGATCAGACAGACCAGAGAGAAAGAAACTCAAAAGACCATTAATGAATGTTAAAATTACCTATCCACTTGGCAACACACAGTTCATTTGCTTCAGGACTGAATGGCTGAACTGTAGCCGCATATGCTTCAAGTTCACTCATCAACGCTCCAGCAGCTTCAATAGCATCCATATCAACAGGGCAAGCCATCAATAATGCCTGATCATCAACAACACTGTTGATGAGAACATTTGCTACAGTACCCTTGGGCGGAAATTTCACTGACTCAATATTGTCCAACAAGAATTTTTCTGTACAAGAAATGAAACAAATAGGTTACCAAGAAACAAGACTAACGCACCATACTAATTAAAAATAGCATATTTCAACTCACTGGCTGCCGGAGCAGGGGTAGGGACCACTGGGGCAGGGGCAGGGGCAGGAGGTGACACTACAGGGGCAGGGGCGGGGGCAGGGGCGGGAGCAGGAGGAGACACTACAGGAGCGGGGGCAGGAGGAGAGACAACCGGGGCGGGGGCAGGAGGAGAGACAACCCGAGCGGGGGCAGGAGGAGAGACAACCGGAGCGGGGGCAGGAGGAGAGACAACCGGAGCGGGGGCAGGAGGAGAGACAACCGGAGCGGGGGCAGGAGGAGAGACAACAGGAGCGGGGGCAGGAGGAGAGACAACCGGAGCGGGGGCAGGAGTAAGAGCATTCAGAACACTTTGGTTAAGAGACAATCCTCTCTTTTCATCTAGAAGATCAACACCATCCCCAAATTCACCAGTAAATTTCTGAGAAAAAAAGTTACAAAAAAAGTTAACAAGGTATTTTTTCTTTAGGAAAGAAAAAGAATTGAACAAATGCATACCACTTTGAGAGGTGACTCTCCAATAAAGTAAGAATTGAGAAGATCCTCTGCTTCGGAAGTTAATTTGGCATTAGGTACTCCCTTGAGACTTGTTTTAGAGCACAAAATAGGAATCTGGAAAGGACACTTATTAATAAATTGAGTGAACAAACATGACATAATTGGTTAAGCAATCACTATCTCACCTTGGCTAAAGCATCACTGAGAGCAATCATGTTGCTGATTGGAACCCCTCTATCCACATTGCCAAAGTCTACAAAGCATACATCAAACTTGGCTTCAGACTTGTTTGGTTTCCCAACAACAACAGCTCTGGAAAATGTATGGGAACATGTATTAGATGCTTCAAGTGCATGAACAGTAATGCATAAGTACTGGAAAATTAACTGACCTGTAGTAGGCATCATCAGCACTAAACTTTGCCGCCACAAATTCTTGTTTCTTCGGTTGTCTGCCCAAAGGTTCAGCTGAAATAAACATTGGGAATGCATGAGAAATGTGTGAAGAGTTAGGATTATCATAAATGGAGCAAGGTGAACAAATTTTACCTTGTGCACAGTAGTCCATTAAGTCTTTGCACATTTTAACCTGCAGCTCAACAGTATGAGGAGAGAGAGAGCGCAGGTAAACAGTGTTATTCTCAAAGTAGGTAATGGCCACCTGATCACCACTGCAGATTTCAACACACGGAGGAACTTCAATTCTCGCATCGGGAGGGGAGGTGGGTGATGAGACAGTTTGCACAGCTCCCGACGAACCAACAGGGCTAACAGGTGGTAACCTGGATAGTCTAGCCATAACACCAGAAAGCTTTGGTGACTCAGATCGCAGCGGGGTTAGCTTCTCGCATGACTTCGGTTTTTCCACTTCAAAGGATGGTTCCCGATTAGATCCTGCCTGGTTCATGTTCCTAGGAGACCTTGCACCATTGTCATAGTTGGGCTTTCTCCCAGCACTGCCAGGTCTGTCAGCAGATTTTAATCCATTTTGAGTATCATTTCTTCCAGATCTGCATTCGGTACCATTACTGTCATCCTTGACAGGCCCGTTGTCTCGCCCATTCATCCTCATGGATAAACCCTGAGCATCACCAGAACTAGATCCCTGAATGCGAGCAGCTACTGAGGACTCTGCTCTCCTGACATATTCAGGAGATTGTCGCGAATTCACTTTAACGTTGGAAATTCGTTCACCCCTTGATCCCAACAGCGGGGATCGAAGCCTTTGACCTCCAGCTGGGTCACTGCTAGACGGGCCTCTGGCATTGACAACTGGCGACAGACGCCCATGTTCCGCGTCATACTGAACTATCTCCACCTCTGTGATGTGCTTCTTGCCAGCATAGTTCAATGGAGGCCTACCAAACAAAAGTTATTAAAAAAATAAAAGGTATGTGATTTAAATTAGTACCAAAGTAGTTACTCACAGGCCAGCGTTGCATTTGCTTTGATGATCTGACCAGTTTTTTTTCTGGCAATCCCTTGAACAATAATGCACACCACACCTTCCACATGTATAGGAAGTGCGTGTGAGGCATAAAACACATGGTCCAACTTCCACCTGAAATAAATAATACTCATACATTAAAATGGGTCAAATAGGTTTAAGGTACGTGAGCAGTACAGTCATGCACTATACTTACGACAACTCCATCCTCACTAGTGGCTTCAGTATCCTTAGCTTCACAGCTGACAGAACTGAAAATTGAATTTGCACTTAGATCAAATGTAGACAGCTTGATATAAATTACAACATTGGACATCTAGCAATACTTCTTAACATGGAGTAATGACTCACTTATTTTGAGGGGCAGATGAGACTTGACGAGTACCATCTACACTTCTGACAATACTAAGTTTCGCCTGAGGTTTACTGGCCTGGGACTCGTTACTGGGCGGTCCTCTAGAGACCCTACAATGGAAAATAAAGATTAATACTATCTGTTTCTACACAGATACACTACCTCATTCTTGGATACTCCACTCTAACCTATTAGGCAGTGGTCTATTACGATGTACAGGTAATGCATTTGCCATCATAGGATTCATCATTTGCATCATGGGATTCAACATCGGATTCATCATAGGATTCATCATTGGATTCATCATGGAGTTAACAAACGGGGCCATCACATACTTTTCGGCCATAAAAGCTTCCCTGAGGAATGAGAGCAAGAAAAAAAGAGCATCAGTCAAGCAGCGCCACTAACTTTCAAAATTATGTTAAGGTACTCACCGCACTGAGCTGAACTCAATGTCATAAGTGTTTAAGGCTGGGTTGTATTCAATGCCTCTGATCTGACCAAAACCTTGAAATTCATTTGCAAGGTCCCCCTGAAAATTATAAATACACAAGGTGAACAAAACTAATATTAGAGATATTTATTTTGGCCATCAAGTTTCACTTACTATTTCTATGTCTGCAGGGAAGTCGTATAAAGTTAAAATCGATCCTTCTCGACCACATGGCCTACAAAACAGAAAAGCTGGAGTTATTTAAGGGGCCCACTCCTGGACTGAAAATGGGAAACAACAAACAGACTGATACCTGATACTTACACATTGGCATTGAAGTGTGCCATGTTTGCTGCCTGCAATGCAAGAAGTCAATCATGAGTATCAGATAGAGAATACTGGCGATAAAATTCTGGCCCTCACAACAAGACAAGTCATGAATAACTATATCTTCACCTAGTTAGGAGAGCTAAAGCTGAGAGCTAAACGCGAGACCTGAAGCGAAAGACGAGAGCGAAGAATCGGTCCGGTGGTTGGTTGGTTCGGGAGCCCAAGGTCCCGAGACTGGACCGATTTTTCGCTCTCTGGCTTTCGCTTTAGCTCTCGCGTTTAGCCCTCCTGACTAAATACAGCGTTGAGGCTACAAATGAGTGGGCACTGACTGCACAGCACATTGGCCCTAACCTATACCAAATGAGGTGCATTGGAATAAATCCAATCTGTCAACAACTTTCACGTCAAGCGTTTCCTACATGGACACCCCACTGCAAAATTAATGCGGTTTTGAGAGTGCGAAATGCAGCAGTGCAGCGAGCCCTAGTTGACTGTAATGGGCCACACCGCCCAACTAGCTGTAGGTAGGGGGTGCACTCGCAGAACAGCTTACCTGCAAGGTTCCAAAACCCGGCAGAATGATCTATTAGATTGATTAAATGCCTTTTCAGGCAGTTTGCCTTAGAGGCAGGCCCAACTCACACAAACTCCCGACCGTGCGCACAGGTACAGTTCCAGAACTCAAAACCGCAAAGCAGCAACGAATCCAGCGAGACGTGAAGGAGTGCAACAGTGCAACAAACGTACACAAACCACCACGCACGCACGCACGCACACACACAACCGAACAGCTGACCAATCAGAGCGTTTGGCATTCCACCGCACCAGCGCTGTCGCTGCACTGGGCGGACTGACAGCAAACTAAAACCGCTGGTCGTCTTTTGTTTTCTTCTTGTCCCGCTTGTTGCCAGTAATTTTGAATTTTTTCAGATTTGTTCTGATCCGCATATAAATTGGCAATTGGTCTTTCTGATTGTGTGAATATTTGCAGGAATTATGGGGAAACAATACAAACAAACAGAAAAGGACAATTGGACTAATATTTATTTTATTCATTTTTTAATAAAGTATCAAACAAAAATAATGTGACTTACGTCCTGCAGTCATAACTTGCACAAATGCGCTCTCAAACCCCACAGAACGATATGTATTTCTGAGATGATTCAACTATTTCGTACCTAACCAGAAAATCAACACAGGCAAAAAGGAACTTTGAATTCTTTAATCAGCACTCAAAACTAAGAGATGAAGTTAAAGGTAGGTATGCATGACATATCACAAAGAATCTGCTGATCATCACTTTACTCCAAATTTTCCAAAAGAAATTAAAAAATAAAATTCCATTTTGTTTTCATTATAGATAGATAGACTTTTAAAGGAAATAAAGATTTCACATCTGTTTGTAACAAAATATTTAAAAAGGGGCAAGGAGTAGGGGTGTACTGCAGAGCTCAAACAACTCAAAAATTTCTACTAGCACACAGTACACATATTTGATATATCCGAACCTCTAACCAATGGCGGTAACTTGATAAGCTTACGTCCTTCAAGTCGACTCTTAAGCAAACCAGAAGCTTTCTGTTCAGGTACCATGGAGGTCTGTTTGTCTTCTGTGCGAATTTTGACTTCTGATTCTATCACAGGAAATGAAGATTCTGTATTATCCATTTCTTTGGTCAAACAAATCTCATCCGTGCTGATGTTTTTCAGAATTAAAATATCTGAGAGAGCCTCTTGCTCACTTTCACAGTCAGAGACTTTAGAAGTGCTGCCACTCTCCTCATGTTGGGGTATTGTCATTGTTTGTGTTTCATCCATGCTGTCTTTGATATGTGATTCACAGACAGGAAAAATAGATTTTGTATTTTCAACTTCTTTGGTCAAACAGTAATTCTCATTTATCACAGTGGCATTAGTAACTAAACTATCTGAGGGCACTTCTTTCTCACACTCACAATCAGGCCCTTGAGAAGTACTATTCAAATCTGTAGAAAAGAGAGCTTTTAAGATAATTAATACTGAGCAAATCTGAACAAAGTTGTAGATTCAACTAGAAGATTGATTACTTACTGTTTTGTGAAACAGCATCTTCTTCAAGGCTATCAGACTTTGAACTTTCTTTACTCAGTTCATCCTCTAAAAGCAGCAGTCTTTTATTTACAGCAACATCTGAAGTCATTTGGTAATCTTTCAAACAGACAGGGTGATAAATGAGACCTTCATGACAGATGCAGTCCTTTAGATGCCACTCATCCTGTTCTTCGTTGAAGAATTCTTCAAATTTGTCCCGACATACTTCACAAACTGTACCATAAGGGAAGTCTTGAGATGGCACACTGGATGTTGGCTCTTCTTGAATGGATGTGCTGCCTTTACATTCCTCAGGAATAACTTTAACAGAATAAGGGAGAAATATGATTCATAGACCTCAAAAGAAGGTAAAGTAGATTTTTTTTTTTAGAGATATAGGATTCACCTACATACCTTCTAGAGTTATGCTGGATTCAGACTCAAATTTGACCCAATTTGTGACACTTAGATACCACATTCTACTTTGAGGTTTCCTGATTTCACGATTTATTTGGAAATGCCAATCTAAATGCTTGCTGTAGACTCCACTTTCATTAGGAAAAAACCTTTCTCCACAAGAACTGCATTGCTCTCCAGAATAAAGAGCATCAACCAGACCTGGCTGCTTTCTGAAAAAAAAAAGTACAGGTGACTACTGTATGATGATCACACATATTTCGGTACAAATCCATCTATCAGATCTACTAACTAACGTTTTCAATGACGATGATTCACTGAAATCCACTTCATGAATATCTCCAATGTTTGCCTTACGCTCTTCAGGTTCAGTTTGCATATAATGAGGAGTTAAAAGCCCAACTTCACAGAGGTTTCGAAATAAGGCATGAATATTTGCACATGGTTCAAATGCAGGAGGCTTGTGGGTAGAGTTGTTGTGAGATGATTCATTTGAGAAGCAAGTGAGGCCTGGAAATGATGTTACAAAAAATCCTTACAATTTTCAGAAAAGGGCTTCAAAGTGTATTTGTTTTTCAGTTAACATACCTGTTTCAGGAGCAGTAATTGCTGTATTCTGCTTGTTTTGCTCTCTAATCTTTGGTACGAGATGTGATAATGAGTTTTTTCTTGCTAATGCATTGTTCTTGGAACGTTTTCTTCCCTTTCCCCTTGCTAGCATAAAAAATTTGCATTGCAAAACAATTTAGATAGATGGTCATAAATCTGAACTATTACTTAAAGAGCAACGCTTACAAACCTTTTCTTTCAACTGGTGGAAGTGGCACATGTGGTGATGGTTCATCAAAAACATTGGCATTAGGACCTCCAATGCCTAAATTTTGTTGTACAGGATTTTGTGTTTGTACAAAGCCCATACCTAGAACACCAAACTGACCCAAAATGAGGCCAGGAGGTAAATGAGACAGCCGCACATAGTACACATCACCTTTTACTAACAGGGCAACAGCAGGGCCCCCAAAACAAATGTTGACAATTTCCTGATTAATAAGTACAGTTTTGAAACGGTTCAAAAATTTCAAAATATGAGGTATCCCGGCAATGTCAAATCTGGAAAAACGTAGAAAGTAAGAGAAAAGGGACCATGAGATTATTAACATGGGAATATGAGCATAGCTTTAACTCATACTACCTTTGTGGTTTTCCATCTAAATATATGCGTGAAATGTCAACTCCATTCACAGATAGAGTCACAGAACCTGCCACTAAATCGCTGCGCAAAGCACCAATTTGCACCAGAGGTACTGCACTGCAATGCAGTCTGGCAGTTAACATCTCTCCAGTAGAAAGTTGGATTTCAATAGGAGGACAATTAAAGGAACACTGAAATCCTTCATTATTCACATACAACTCTCTGGTCGGTGCCCCCAAACGCAGTCTGGAAGCAAACCGCACAGTTGAATATTGGAAATATACAGGCCACATGAGATAACTTAAAAGGAAACATTCTTACAGGTAACGATTTCCCATCAGTATAATTTCTTTGTTGGGCTCATGAAATATACAATGAACCACAAAGTTGTTTAGAATGATTGTGGCTTCTCCATGTTTAAATAGTATCTCCCTCGGATTGTCACTTCCAGCTCCTATAACTGCTGTATCACCATAAAATCGAACTTCTTGACTAACTCCATCTACACTGATGGTACCCATTGGATCTTGTGCAATATTCCGTAAGGATTGTATGCAGGCAGATGGAAGGGACAGTACAGGATAGTTTGCTTTCATATTGCTGAAAGGAAAGCAGACAAGGTTAATTCATAATGTTTTCATCCAAATTAACTAAAGGTTTAGACTTGGGACACAAATTATAGTACTCACAAATCACTTAAATTGCACATAGGTTCTTCTAATTTGGTATTTTGATTCTGATAACGCTGCAGTCCTAAATTGCCAGTTGGATTAAAACATGTACTGTTTTCTAAACTCTTTTCAGGCGTTCGATCTACAGGTTTTTTTTGGGTTAGAACATTATGTAAAATTTACATATAAGATCAAAATAACATAAAAATGATATGTTATAGCCACAAACTTACATCCATGTTGATAATCAAATATTCTCTCTTGTGTAATTTCAACCACTTTCTCTGTTGATCGATTAGTGGAATTGGAAAATTCATGAGGAATCTGACTGTGATTAAAGGACTTAACAGGTCCTGACTCGGGATTTGGAAGGAGAGGTTTTTTTTGCTTATTTCCAGTAACCATAGTGGAAGTCCTAAGATATAGGTGATATAACAAGATTTTAAAAACATAGTGAATGCAATAGTTAAGAGAAAAATATATAAAATAGAAAATTCTTTGCTTCTTTGGTACTTACAATACTACACATGAAGATGCAGGATCAATGTCATTGTCAAAACAAATTTCAGCAGGTATGGATTTCCGTTTCAACGAATTGTGAACGTGAAAAAAGTTGTTATAGATTCTTCTTTCACTGCTTTCTTTAATTACAGTTTCAATTTGAGTATTCAAATAATAGGGAGTAGTTTCAACAGTATTGGAACAAAGCTCAGAAGAGGTAAGATTGATTGATGTTTGATTGTAATGGAATATATTATGTTTAGTTGAGTTCTCATAACCACCTTTTGCTAAAGATTGCTTAGATGAAGTACTAGAGGCTCCTGTTAGCAAGTCATTACAAGTTGACTGTGCTGGGTCGTCTTTTCCACAACTGGCTTGCTTTTCTTTCCTACATACAATTGCATCTCTATGTTGTCGGTCCATATCATAGTAGCGATCTTTTCTAGGCCTATGGTCTCTGTCTCTATAAGATCTGTGATTGGAATACCTCGACGGCCTGTAAGATTTTCTTCGGTCTTCATCATAGCAAGGATTTCTATGAGACTTGCTCTGGTAGTTTTTCTTAGTATGCTTCTTGGCACTGTCATGGTCTTCACTGTCCTTCAATAGTTTATGATTCTGTCTGGATACCAGATCTGACAACAAATGTATAAGTTTGCTATTGTCCATTTTAGTCTGAACAGTTGTGTCAGTCAGAGGAGATTTGTTTATCGGGACGATGTCATCTAATGGATGTTCACCAGTGGAATTTTCTATCTGTGAATTAGATAAATTGATATTCATTGGTATAAGATACAGGAAATGGTATACAAATGATAAAACAGCATGTTGATGAAAATATATATCATACTGTTGTTGAGTCAGCTGGACTTGTACTAGATTTTTGTTCAGAAGAACGTTGATCAGTTTGCTTTTGATCTCTTTCCAAATCTCGCCTTTGTTTTTGAAGAAGAAGCTGCTCTCGCAACATATCTGCCTCATCAACTTCTGAATGAACTTTAGCTTCTTCAGATTCCTGGGAAAACACATAAGAAAATACGAGTTAGAAATTGGATGGATAGATGGTAAAGAGAAGGAACCTTTACATGAAATATCTAAAATGTTGACTTAAAAAGTAACTCACCATGGATAAGAAGCTAGGGTTGAGCAATATTTTACAAGTCTTGTTTTTAAATGCATCCAACGATTCACCTTTCAACAGCCAAGCAGAGTCAAAAGAATGAATTTCAACATCGATATCACACAACTCCTTGCAAGAAAAAATACCATCCCAAGTTTGTCGCAGTTTGAACATTGATTGGCGCATAGTTTCGTCGGCCTGCAGTAAATCAAAAAACATAATATAGCAGAGCAGTGCATTTGTGCTATCCAAAATTAAACTCACTGTGAAAAATTACATACTTCCTCATATATTTTAGGAAACTTCTCCCTAATGATTGAAGAAAACAAATCTATGTACTTTGTTGCAACATTTTTTACGATGGAGTCAATAAGGTACAAGATGGGCAGCTTCACTATAATTGGGGCCTAAACAACATAAAACAATGAGCAGTGGGTACACAGATGTAGTTGTAAGAAAATTCAAGTGATTTTATAGTGTTGTGAACCTTTTCGAGATGACTGTCGACAGCATCTACAATAACTTCTGCATGGTCTACATTATTTTTTGCAACCATAGTGAGGAAGTTGATGAGAGGTTTGCTATTGACAGTCAAGTCGGCTAGGGAGTCAGCAAAGCAGTTAATAGCCTCGTTAACTTCTGCTTCCAACATAATGCTTCCTACAGCAGCTGAAACAAAATTCAACAAGGAGTAAATGTACACGGCAACATTTGTCCTAATAGCTGCCGACAACAACAGGCGGCGGTTCTTGAACATTTTTAAAACGAGACTCAAAAAAAACGAATGCTGGACAGAGCATTTTAAAAATACACAAAAGGTATTAAAAGTACCGGCATGTCATCGGGTGTTGATTCAACACTCTTTACAGAGGCATGAAGGGGGTTTAAGCGCACACCATGGCGACTAGTTAAAACAGGAGCAAGATGTCAAGAAATGAGAAACAAATGGATCCAACTTGAAAATCATCCGTTCTGAAGCCAACATGTTCCAACATGTAAACGCACAAATCCGACATTTGTTTATTTGAAGCTAAACAATAGCCTTGTTATGGCCAGAATGGAGGGGATTGTTTACAGTGGGTTAGTTCCTAAACCAAGTCGAGGACTGATTCACCGCAAGTCACAAGTATGGGCGAAAACGACCACTCGGGGCAGCTCGCTCGGCCCGCTCCCACTCGACCCGCGCCGCGCGATTTGAATTTGGAACTCCCCCGCGCACACACGGGCACGGGGTACTGTCACCACACTTCTCGGATCTGGGGGAAAATAAACCTAGAAATGAAAAGGCAGCAGCCAGCACGACCGCGTCAACATGACCGGATTTTCTCCAGCTCGCTTTGTAGCTCGAGAATTGTATAGGAGTATTATCAATGAATGAGGAGCGATACAAGTTCGATACACCTGCCTGGGAATCATCAGGATAAAAATTAATCGAAATCAACGGAAATCGCTTAAACTAAGCGGGGAACTAGTGGGACTCTGAAACAACTTAGTCGAAATAAGCGTTTTATACCACTAGAAAACCTTAAGAATAAATATAAGCGGACGGGAATCACCGGGAATCCCAATGGGAATCAAGTATTTCGGGAATCATGTGTACACATCAAAAGGGAGTTATTGTCCCCTCGATCAAATCTTTTTGTTAAAAGTTTTATTTTTTCAAATTTTTCTAAAAGTTGTTTTTAATTTATTCATTTTTTTTCTGGAAAATTTTCTAACTTTCCCGTGAAAATTTTAGGCTTTCAAATCCCAACTCTGGCGCCTTCCGCACCCTCGCTTCTCGTGGCTCTCAGGGCTACGGCGGCACAACGGTTCAACGGTAGGCGGTGTGCCTTTATATCGCTCCATCCGCAAAGGGATCGCCCAGAAAGTTTTTCTCGGATTCGCAAACGGCAATTTACAGCAAATTACACGCCCAAAGAGGAATTTTGGGGGAAGGAACGTGGATTCCACGTAGATTTGTGACGGTGCTCACGAACACTTCGTTGTGACCTCTTTATGACTTACGAGGTCACGATTCTTGCACTTGCGACCTCACCACTGACCTCACAAGAATACAAGATTCGTGACCTCACAGGTCACAATGAGGTCTTCGTGAGAAAAACATTTTCCTGGGTAGGGTTGGAAGCCCTGGAAAGTATCCGGAAAATTTCCGAAATATTTCCGAAAAAAGCAGTAAATTTCCGCGGAAAACGGAAAATTTTCCCAGATTTCGGAAAAGTTCAGTTTTTTCCGGGAATTTTGGGGAATTTTTCGAAAATTTTCCCGGAATTTAACAAATTTTTACAACCCTATTCCTGGGGTGGCAGAGGCTTTAGAGTGAGAGGTTCCTATAACGAATGACGGACGCACGTTCCAGACGATCCCTGAACCCTTTGGTACAAACTGTAACCCGATGTTGGCCGTCGTGCGCCACTTCCAGCCCAATGTGTGAGCCAATAATCCGGCCCACTTTCGCCGTGAGCCGATAGTCTAGGAGGGCGGCGTGGGGGCCCGCACTGGCCCGCACCCGGCGCCCGCAGAGCAGATAGGCCAGGAGCCGGCGCTCCCCGCGGCGCGCACTCTGCGGCGGCGACTCGCCGGGCACGTCTCGACAAGGGATATTTTGATTTTCCGGTAAAGTATTATTCTTGGGAAATTTTTTCAGAGTTTTTAGCTATGTTTTCTTGAAGGAGTTGAGTTTTTTTTGCAAATTTTTCTCGAAATGTCTCAATTTTTCATTTTTTTTTTCTGGAAAGGTTTTGAAGTTTTTCGGAAGAATTTCAAGTTTTCCGGAAGAATTTTTAAGTTTTCCGGAAGAATTCCAAGTTTTCCGGAAGAATTTCAAGTTTCCCGGAAGAATTTTAAGTTTTTAAACCCCTAGTCTCGACGATATGGAGCAGCAGGCCACCCTGGTCGCGGCGCTCGCCGCCCTGCTCGCGTCGTTCGCGTCGGCCGGCCAGCTCGACACCGTCACCTTCGAGTACACGGAGCCGCTGAGCGGGCGGCCTCTGCCCCCGGCGCCGCCGCGGCCCCAGCCCATGCTGGTGCAGGGCACGCTGCAGACCGGCGGCCCGCACCGGCAGCCGGCCGAGCAGCCCAGCCTGGGCTTCGGCCCGTTGCCCTGCGACTGCAGCGGCGACGACATCGGCTGCGGCTGCTGCGCCGGCCTCAGCATGTCCTACTTCAACTGGCACCGCCGGGGTTCGTAGGATAGGGCTGTTCCATAGGGCATTTCAATCGTACACGAATTTATCCCCCCCCCCCCACCAATTTTTTCCTGATTTTTATGATTTTTTTTGGAGTGTGTAAACTAATGTTTGTTTTGGATGAAGTGCCCCTCGGCTGTTCCGCGATTCTGGTCACCAAAGTGACTTAACACCTACTTCTAAAGAAAAAAAAGTTCTTTCAAGAAGTAGTAGTAAGTTATGCAAGGCACTCACTTCGGATCTCTTGATGGCCCGCAGCCTGCTTCAATCTGACGTACGACCCGTACGAGTTCGCCTTCGGCGTCAACCTCCTTATGGACGGCAAGTCGGTGTTCAAGAGGAGCATATCCGGTGAGTGTTTGAGACCTGAAATATCGGCACATTTGTCTGATTCCTCGTGCTCGTTCCCATACAATTCAGGGTGGCACCCCCGGTGTCTAAATATCACGGAGTTTCTATCGACTCCATTATGACCGTCCTAAAGTCCAGTTTTTGAACAGCACCATATGCGCTACCCGAGATGAACCCACTCTATAACAATGATTCTGAGTTGTCAGGGATTTTAATTTTCCTCAAACGTATTTTTTTTCTTCAATTTTTGGATTTTTTTCCTTGAGAAGTTTTACTACTTTTACAAATTTTCTGGTAATATTTCAGTTTCTTTCCCAATTTTTGGGTGGACGAGTTTTTCAGTTTTTCCAGAAAATGAAAATTCCACGTAAGTTTTATACTTGTCGATCCCTATTATTCCGCAGGGAAGAACCCGCCGCCGGTGTGCGTGCCCATCCCCACGCCGCTGCCGGTGCTGCCCACCGTCGACTTCTGCGTGCGCATGTTCAACGTGTTCACGCCGCCGCCGGGCCTCAACCTGCACGCCTGCATGAACTTCGAGACGCGTATCTCGCGCGCGCCCGTGCTCGTGCTCGAGTTCGACTGCCTGCGCCTCGGCTCGGCCGGCGCGTTCCTGCTCAAGCCCGAGGACTACGGCGAGGTGCCCGAGCCAACGACGGCGCCGGAGGAGGGCAGCGGCGGCGGCCAGGAGGGCGAGGACGAGTACGACGAGGTCACCGAGGACCGCAGGAAGGACAACGCCACCGAGGCGCCCGCCTGGACCACTTGACCCATGCGGGTTGACCTCGGTACTCCTCTCCATTCACTGGAACTATAGCTTCCGGATTTTTAGACGTCCGCACGAAAATAAAGAATTAGCTAAAATAGCTAATAATACATGTGCTAAGTTGGCCTTGGCTCACAAATATTAGCTCGCTTAGCTTTCACAACTAGTTCCTTTTTATTTCTAGTCAACTTTTATTATCGCTATTATTTTTCTCTTTCTCTTAGCTAATATAATTAGCTATAGCAAATGCATTAGCCATTTTAGCCAATTCTTTTTTTTTTAATTTATTTTCCACGGAGGGCCGGTCTGCCCATAAGTTTGGACGCACTTCAAATGTCCCGCACCGTGCGCCTCACGCCTCCCTCTCAAACAAACACACGTTGCGGGCAAATAGCGACCGCTTGTGGGGGAGGGGGGAGGGCTGGGGGAGGGGGCGTGGGAAGAGCGAGAGGACTGCAGCAGTGTCGTCAGCAGGACGCGATGGCGATGCGTTTGTCCTCAGCGCAGCGGGACGAGGAGGCCATTGCCAGCGCCAGAGAAGACTTGTTAGGTTACATTCGGGACCGGAGGCGATGATGTGCCCTCTGCACATCACGAGATTGTAACGAATTTAATAAAGAACTAATGAATTCAACAATATCTCCGATATGTTGTTTGAACCACCTGCGTGAGAGGGCTCCTTTGCATCCGGACGGGAAGCTATCCCGTAACTCAGGCAACCCTTTGATAGGTTAATTACCAATAGGGCTGCGCTCCTTTTTATTTGGCGGCCCGTGCGGCCGAGGTGCTATTCCAGAGGAGCACGGCGCCTGCGAGACTCGGGGTAGGCCACCCCGCGGTACACGCACGCATTGCTGGCGAGGCGTTGCCTAACCCGCCAGGCGCTACGAAAGGGGGGGAAGAGAATGGGGGCCTCGGGCTCTCACTTTTACCCGCGTACCCGGGTAACACGCCGCGTACCCGCCCACCCGGTTAGGAACCGGGTAAACTGCGTAACACAGGTCTACCCGGGTACCCGTGTTGCCCGGGTTACCCACTGCTGCTACCCGTCAGACCCGTTTACCCGGTTCTTACCCGGGTTACCTGGGTCCCTGCGGATCCCGGTTTTGAGATAGCCCGAGGTTGAAAATATCCAAATTTTTCCGAAAAAATTCCGAAAAATTCCCAAAAATTTCCGAAAAATAACGGAAAACTTCGAAAGTCTGGCAAATTTTCATTTTTTTCCTGGAAAATTTCCTGTAATTTTCCGGAAACTTCCAGGGCTTTCAAACATTTCTCTAGAAGCGCTTCATTGACCGAGACATTGACTGGCGCGGGTGGGGACAGGTCGCGGGTACACAGCCACCGCGCATATACCGCCGCGTCGCGGCTGCGGCTGCGGTCGCACTGGCTCCAAAAGTAATAGCGGCAATAAGGTCGAACGCTGACTGCCGTCGAAACTGACGACGCCGAGACAACTACCGCAGTTTCTGTCTGTAGAACGTACACTTCTGCCATCACACACACACAGGAGGACAATGTCATGTAGGACTGTAAACAAACAAACAAACAAAAAAAGAAGAAAAAAGAGGGAATGGGCAGTCTGCTTGAAGGGGATACGGTTTTCTTCATTAAGGTGGATTCAGAGTTCACAAGATGCGAGCGTGATTTTCACGCCGCTAGCGTGAAAAGAGTTGTTTTGGTTAGCAGTTGACTTTATGCAACAGCCAATAACAGGCCGCCGTGGGGCTATGCCATTATTTTCAACTGAATCAGCTTTGGAGCTAGCGTGATTTTTCACGCTTCCGGCGTGATTTTCACGCAAGCGTCTGCTAGTAGCGTGATTTTCACGCAGGCGTCTGCTAGCAGCGTGATTTTCACGCAAGTTCGAAAGTGCACATTCTCGAATATCTCCCAAGTGCCCCTTCGAACTTGCGTGAAAATCACGCTGCTAGCAGACGCTTGCGTGAAAATCACGCTAGCTCCAAAGCTGATTCAGCTGAAAATAATGGCATAGCCCCACGTCGGCCTGTTATTGGCTGTTGCATAAAGTCAACTGCTAACCAAAACAACTCTTTTCACGCTAGCGGCGTAAAAATCACGCTCGCATCTTGAGAACTCTGAATCCACCTTTACTTCGTTCCGTACCTGGATAACCCCTGCTGCGCCCCCGCTGGCTCCTGTATATGGGTGGGGTATGTCAATCCGTATAACAAACTCCACACCTACAACGGAGGGTCGCGGCAAAACATGTTTCTATTACTTAATTTTCCATACAGTCATCATCATACTGAAGCCAGGTGCGACTTTCAGAAAAAGTGAAAAAAATAAATACAAATAACACGTAAGCGATTTTTTGGATTATAGGCTACGATCGGCCATGATGTAAAAAACGTTAACAATTCTTGTTAACCATAAACGGACCCTTAGTAAAGAAAATTTTCTATTTTATAGTTTCGAGCAATATTTTTTTAATATAGAAGTTTGCGCCGCGTCATAGCGCCCTCTCACTTGTACAATCTGCTTTTGGACGCCATGTAGGCATTTCATGCCTGCTCGCTGCATTGGTCTTGTTCTTGATGTGTCTCTTTGAGTGATATTTTTTTTGAATTAGCCTATTATTACTTTTATAATTGAACACAATTTTTGGCATGAGCGCTGGGCCGCGCGCGGTGACTACTCAGAGAGCAAGGTGTCCATTGTTGCTCTGGTACCCGGGCGTGGGTGTGGAGCTGCTCAACAGGTGGTGTTGAACCATGACGTAAGACGTAACGTAAGACGTAACGTAAGACGTAACGTAAGACGTAACGTAAGACGTAACGTAAGACGTAACGTAACGTAAGACGTAACGTAACGTGGGTGTGGAGCTGCTCAACAGGTGGTGTTGAACCATGACGCTCCTGCCCCCCCGCGCGCCCCAACTGTCTGGCAGGAACGGGTCCGTTTAAAAAATGATAAGGATGAATAATGAAATAAATAAAGAGCTCCAGCTCCAGCGCCGTCTGTCGTCCTGGGTTGCGGTCGCAGCGCCGTCTTGCAGCCGGTATTGGAGGGCGGACCACCACCATCACCGCACCGCGGCCTGGCGACGTCCTGGCGACGTCCGCGAGGGAAGTCCGGCCTTGCGCGCCCGGCTGAGCGTGGGCGTGGCGTGGCGTGGCGTGGCGTGGCGCGGCGCGGCGCGGCGTGGCGACTACTGACACAGTGGCGGGCAAACAAACACACACACGCAGCACGACGGCCAATGTCACACTCCTTACATCATATAACGGTTTGATTAATCATCATCCTCCCACTCCTTGTGTGTAACAGCTTCTGATTGCAATGGGCCAATCGTAATAAAAACAATTATCATCATCGTATAGTTAATTATTTCTAGTGTCTGATTCTGATATCCTTCTCTGATATCGCCCCCCCCAAAAAAAAATAAATAAAGAGACATTTATCCAGGAATGACAAACTCGACTGATTGTGACGACTCGACTAATTGGACGAAGACTTTGACTCAAGTCGAGTAATTTGTGGAAGCGGAGTAGGGTTTCTGTTTTTTTTCTTTCCTCGCGGAATAGGACCTGCTTGGAAAAACTCAATAACACGCAACCGTCACGAACTTGACATTTTGAAGGTGGATGTGACGCCCCAGTGACTCTTAGTGTCTACTGGATTGGGTTACTCATTAATATGGGAATAGTTCACAGTTCCTCTATTCCTTCCCCTTCCTTCACATCACACTCTCTCTACACCCGAAAGTCTCACCAAAGTACTTACCCATCCTGGGGCGGGGCGGGAGAGGGGGGATAGGGACAGGGCCAACCGCGAGACAGGTAGAGGCTATGGTGGGGAAGAGGGGAGAGGGGGCACACCGGAGTTGAAGACGAACTGATGCGTATAAATGAGTGATGCGCGGAGTCCATGCAGTTCAGTGCGCTGTTTGGGTCCGTGTCGAAAAGACCATGAAGCTGGTGAGGTTTTAACGTGCTTGTTGTGTTCTTGAGGTTCATCCAGGGATTTGGCTCGTCTGCGCGTAGAAAAGGGGGGCTTTTCTTGAAACGATCCCTATAAGTGTGATGTGTTATGTCTGTGTTTGTAAAGGATTTATTCCAGTGCGCCAAACTCGTACGCGTGTTTTTCACTGAAAGTTTCCAAGTCTTGTGTCCGTGTGCTCCACAGTGCATCGTGCTCCTGTCCGCCCTGGCGGCCGCCGGCGTGCAGGCCGCGCTGCTCAACAGGAACTACCTGCCGCCCCCGGGGGCGGCGCAGGCCGGTGGCGGCCCGGGTCTCCTGCCCCCGACTCGCCGGCCCCCGGCAGGAGTGGGCCCCGGGACCGCCCCCGGCTCCGCCCCTGGGTCCGCCTCCGGGTCCGCCTCCGGGTTCACCCCCGGGTCCGCCTCCGGCGCTGCCCTCGAGCCCACGCCCGTTCAGACGCCCGGCAACTTCCTCGAGACGCCTGTCGCAGACGGCACCCCGGACGCCGGCGGTGCCCCCACGGCCCCAAGCCCCGACAACGCCCCCGGTAACGTCCCGGACACCGCCCCCGACAGCGCGGCGCCCGGCGTGGCCGCGGACACGTCGCGGCCGCCCGCCGTCGCCATCATCAAGATGATCAACCAGAACAACGGCGACGGCACGTTCACGTACAGGTGAGTCCCGCGGGTCCCGGAGTGCAGCGCCGATATGGTGTCCGCTGTCGTCTAATGCGCGCGGATGTTTGCAGCTACGAGTCGGAGAACGGCATCGAGTTCTCGGAGCAGGGCGAGCTCAAGGACGACGGCGCCGAGGGCCTAAACTCGGTGAAGGGCATGTACGCGTACACGGGTCCCGACGGCGTGCGCTACAGCGTGTCGTACACCGCGGACGAGAACGGCTTCCAGCCCGTCGGCGCCCACCTGCCCACGCCGCCGCCCGTGCCCGCCGCCATCCAGGCCCTGCTCATCGACAACCAGGACGAGGCCGCGCCCACCGCCCCTGCTCCCCAGGAGGGCGTCGACGAGGGCGCCGCCCCCGGGCCCGCTCAGGACAACGCAGACTCCACTCCCGGCCCGACCGGCGGTCCCCAGGACACGGAAGCTCCGGAAGAGCGGCCTAGTGCTCCCCAGGACGGCGGCGACGCCCCCAGCGAGGCTGGCGACTTTAGCAGTCCGGCTGCCCCCGTCAGCCCCACGGCACCTAGCACCTTCGGCCAGCTCCCGGCCTACGGCACCAGACCGCAGGCGAGACCTCAGAGCACTGGCGCCTACCAGGGCTCCCAGCAATCCCAGGCTCCCGGTGGATACCAGCGCCCCCAGCAGCCCCAGGGTAACAACGAGTACCAGCGCCCCCAGCAACCCCAGAGTACCGGTGGGTACCAGCGCCCTCAGCAGCCTCAGGGTCCCACTGGGTACCAACGCCCGCAACAGGGCCCCGCTGGGTACCAGCGCCCCACGCAGCCCCCCCAGCAGGGCCCGAGTGGGTACCAGGGCCCAACTCCCACCAGCTTCGCTCCTAGCCCAGCGCGGCCACAGCAGGGAGCCGGGTCGTTCGGTGGGTACCAGGTCGGCGGGCCCCAGACGGTGCCGCCAACTGCTTTCAGCCCCAGTACGGCTCCCGGCAGACCCAGCAGGCCCCAGGCCACGGCGCCGACCTACGCCCTGAGCGGGTTGCAGGCTTCGAGCCCGATCTTCACCCCCAGCAGCCCTCTAGAGACGGGGGCCACTTTCCCCGGCAGACCTCAGACTACTCGCCCAACGTACAGCCTCGGCGGGTCTCAGCAGGCCAACCCGACCTTCGCGCCCAGCGCGCCCCAGCCCACCCCGACCACCCCGACCTTCGCGCCCAGCCCCAGCGCACCCGAGCCGACGCCGGCCGTCACCATGAGCGAACCCCAGGGCACGCTGTCGCTCTCTGCCGACGCCAATCCGGAGCAGGACAAGCTCGGCGAGACGGCGATGCAAGGAGAGCCCCAGGACTTCGGGACGAGGCTGCCCCCGGCGCAGTCCTTCTCGCCGGACTCTGGGTACTACTACAAGAGATAGTCGAACGTAATAAAGAGTTGGTTGAATGTTCAATCTGCCGTGTTTGTGACTCCGTCGTGACCTGAGTGGGGTGGGATGAGTTGGGAGCGTGGAAATGAAAGGCGAATGTTTGGTAGGTAATATCATTTCTTGTCCTTACTTTACTACATCATCGCAGCGTGAGCATCAGTACAGTAATTATTAGTATTGCGCCGCCCGTCGGTACCTTTGTACTTTGTAGTTAGTAGTTCTTCGTACTTTTGTACTTTTGTATAGTTCAAGCCATCGACTTTGGCGAAAAAAAGAGGCGCCAAACAATCAAAACGGGAGAAAAAAAATATTACATTTATGAGGAAAAATAGAATACACAACACTTCTAGATACCAAAAGCAGCTGACGGGCTCACGCAGATGGGGAAAATGAAAACCTCCACAGCAGGGTGGAGGGAAACAACACAACATTCAATGATTTGCGCACAAAGACACACATTAGAACAGATAATATCAAATATTTTATATTAAATTATTACTAATGATCAATTGCTTCAGGTGGCGAAAAACACAAGCAAAGATGCTTGTGGGAGAAGAGACATAGATCAGACAATACAATGATCCCTAAACCCATAACATTGTCGATATAAAGTCCAGACAGACTCAAAGAAAAAATATAGGAAGTGTCAATGGCAGATTCCGAATTCCATGAAAATAATAAATCCCATTCGATGTCAGGTAGAAAAATTTCGGCGTAAGTCGAAGGGACTAAATGTTGATCGAAAAGAAGTTCGATGTTCTTATGTCCTCACTGGATACTCGCGCTGCCTGAGCAACTTGGTAAAATACGTTTTAACGCAAAATCAGGATCAAAATTTAGAGCATCATAGATTAGAAATGGTTTATATTTTAATTGATTGCTTTGTGCTGATCACTTGCCATTTATTGCCATCGAAGGTCTGGCAGTCAAAGTTTAAATCGTTATGTTTAACTTGAAGCAGAAATACATACGCGCTCTGACAGTTTAGGTAAGATAACCACGCTGAGAAATGATTGTCGAAACGATTCCGTTATTCGTCCCGACATCGAAACGTTCAAATGTTATTCGATATTACTTTCGGCACGATTTCGATTTCGACACTCATTTCGTACCGGGCACAAGAATAAATAAGAGTTTGGACCATCCGATAGTTCCAATGCTACATAGGGTCGGGCGACCATTCAATTCAATTGTCAATGTTTTGGCATTGCAGTAAATAACGGTTCAATACAAGTAATAAAATAGCACTTATCTACTCAGGACATGAGTTAGCCTCGAGCCGTCCTCCGTGCCGGCCGGAAGCAGAAGGGTCGCGCTGCATGCCGGCCACGCCCTTCATTTGTCTCATACCTTCTCTAAAAACATAATAATTCCCACTCAAAATAGCATAAAAGGCAACGATTGGCTGAAAACAATGAACGTCCTCCATTGATTCGCTGAGCCCAGGTTGTGGACCTTTTTTTATTATTTTTTGGCGTTCTCCTTTAGTCTCTATTTTCGCACGAACAAAGCAAACAAGATAACAATGAAATAATGTATTAGTTTGGTATAATCTTTTGCTCCATCACGCCCTTCGGCATGAAACACTTCAGTATTGGCGTCATCCTATATAAAAAGATTCTGTTTGATTTCTAAGTAGTAAACCAACAATGCATAAACACTTATATAATTATATCAATATATAATATATATTATTATAATATCAATGCGATCCACCGGCGTTTCAGTCAATAATAATGGTAAAAGCCTTTGTGCGAACATATTTGAACAAGTGGAACAAAGAAACAAAAACCCGCGGAAGACTTAGAGTTCAAACAATAGTTGACTGTTGACCCGAATGAGAATATTGTCTAAAACGCTTCTGGAGGCTTCTATGGTGGGGCAGGGAAGGGCATTGGGCAGTGTCCAGGTTCACTGGCTTAGGAAAAAAAAGAAAGACAAAGAGAAGAGAAATTCCATGGGGTTGGCCTCAAACTTCACAACGCATCCATTAAACTGCATTCACATTGACATTAAATAACATCGTCCAGTACTGAATTGGCCGCCATGAAAATCTACTGAATCTGAGTATGAAATCTAAAACTCGGCTGGGTGTTTTGAACGCTCTTTAACTTGGAAAGAAGCAACAATAGTTGTCGTTTCGTTCTCGGTTCTTTGCACCCTTCTACTGCTCGTGGATAATTAGGTTGATAGTATATCATACTGACATCAATTGAAACAATACAATAGATTTTAGAACTACACATGCCATAACTTGGCACTAGCCGCCCCAGGGGCGGTAAAATATCAACTATAAAACACTTCTATAACATAATGTATATTATAACATTTTTTTCCTTCCTGGTCGGCATTCAACGCCGCAAGAACGATTGAGCAATGCAAGTGAGTGATATAGGCAACAGGCTTCTCGGAAGACTTGGTGCTCGTTCATCAAAGGACCCACCCCCCTTTGACCAGGGGCGGGGCCGCACGTGGCAAGTGGCGCACCTGTGGGAGTCCCCCTTGGAGGCAGCGCCTGGAGGCCGCGCCTGGAGGTCGTGCCTGTAGGCCGACGCCTGTAGGTCGCGCCTGGAGGCCACGCCCGGAGGCAACGCCTGGCGGCCACGCCTAAAGGGCCGCACCTTGAGGCCGCGCCTGTACGGCCAGCCTCCTCCTCCCCCTCCTCCGTGTGATCGTTCCCCGCGTCAAAGGCACTGGTCGCGACCCGGACCTACATGGGGCCGCCTGCTTACAGGGCGGTGGTCGTGAACCGGGGGTCCGGGCGCGCCCAGGCGGGGACGCACATCTACCGCAGGCCGGGCGGCAGGGGTGGCGGCGCCGGCGGCGGCGGAGGCAGGGGGGGACTTAACCGTCAGACGCTGTCGACGGAGGCGAAGCGGTGGCCGAGCTCGTCGCAGGAGTGCTGCCGCCGCGACCCGGGCAGGCTGCGGGGCAGGCTGCGCGTCAGGCTGCCGCCGTGGCCGATGCCCGCGACGCTGTCCGGGAAGTGGCGCCGCTGTCGGAGGCGCGCCATCTGGCGCCGGCGCCGGCGCCGCTTGCGGTGGTGGCACCAGCCGCAGAAGGCGGCCACGAGCAGCAGCGCGCCCGTCGCGCAGCCCACCAGCACCAGCACCGTGTCCACGACGGGCGCCTCCACCAGGCCTGCGCACACACAAGCAGGTCGTCGTCAGCGCGGTAGGCGTAGGAATTCAAATTTTCCGGTAACCTTTCAAGAATTTTCCGGACTTTGAATTCCTTATGGTTCGGCGACCTGGCGCGGCCTCGGCCGCTACTACTCACAGTTGAGCTCGTCCGAGTCGTCGTCCGCACCGCAGTTGCGCTCCTGGTTGCAGCGGAGGTTGTCCGCGATGCAGTAGCCGCTGCGCTCGCACGTGAACTGCTGGCACGCCTCCGCCTCGGCGATCTCCGTGAACACGCCCCGGAACCCTTGCGCACCGACGCTCTTGTCCGCGATCACGAAGCTGGAAGGAGGAAGCATGACATCATTCATACGGGTTGGAAGCCATGGAAAGTTTCCGGAAAATTTCCGAGATTTTGGAAAATTTTCCGGTTTTTCTCATGAATTTTCGAGAATTTTTTTGGAAATTTTACGGAAATTTTCCGGGAATTTTAGAAAATTTACAACCCTATCATTCATGTGTTTGGATTATTTCACGTAAGTTTTGACGCCTCTCATGCTTCGTGTAACTTTCGCTATGACAGCTCACCTGATTCTGAGGAGCGGCCCCTCCGAGACGTACTGCCACTTGTCCGTGGCGCTCTTCTCGCCGCACAGCTCGGTGGGCATCGAGTCCGGGGAGAGCCACAGCCGGACCACGGCGGCGGGGCAGCCTCTCGCTGCGGGCAGGACGAGAGGGCACGCGTTACACTCACGGAAGATACAGTCCGATACCCCACCGACCAGCCAGGTACTTCACTCCACAAATATCAGTGTACACCCTCCAAAAATTTGCGACAAAAATAAGAAAAAATAAGGAAAAAATCTATTAATAATCAGCAAAAAAAAATGAAAAGTAAAGAAAAAACCGTAGAAAAAATGGTGTACACTCGAGTTTTTTGTGTTAGTACCTCCTTTGCCGCCCCAGCACACTCACCCGACGGCTCGCCCTCCACGGCGAACGACTCGAAGTTGAGCAGGATCTTGTGCCTCGGCCGCACGCTGAGGTACCAGTTGCACACCTTGCTGGCATTGCTGTCCTTGGGGCCGTCGTAGTTGGACGGGTAGTTTGGACTCTGGATCACCCCGAACGGCTTGCTGATGTTGCCTCCGCACGAGCCTGGACGGGAAGAGGCTCGTTAGACGGCCATTCAGGTATGTCCACATGTCCACAAAGTGCACGATTTTTTTTATTGTTTTTAAAAAAGTACGTACCGTATATCGGCTTAACGGGCTCAAACGAGTAGTGCGCCTTGAAACCGCTGAACACGGCCTCGTTGTCGGAGTGCAGGAACACGCGCAGCCCGACGGCGCCCCGGTTGGAGTCGATGGGGCCCGGGGCCGTGGTGCTGCAGTACCTGCCGATGAGCGTCTCGGACCCGTCCTGGTACATGTTGTACATCTCCAGCCAGTCCTCGTGGCAGATGTCCGAGCCGTACGCGCCCGACGTGGAGTTGCCCGAGTCGGCGCGGACCTTGAAGTGGTCGAAGACGACCGTCACCTGCTCGTTGGGCGTGGGCAGGAACAGGTACGAGCAGTTGGTGGCGGCCGGGTAGTTGGACGGGTACCGCGGCGAGTTGAAGTCGCCCTTCTTCTTGCCCGAGCTCCGGTACGTGAAGGTGCAGGTGCCGTCGGGTGCGGCCGTCCCCGGGATGCGGTACTCTGCAACGGACAGGGATTTTAATTTCGTACAAAAGTATTTTGGAAATTTTGTTCTTAAAGATTTTTTTTAAAAGAGTCTGAATTTCTTTCTTTGAAAATTTTACTTTTTCAAATTTTTCTGGAAATATTTCAATTTTTTCCCATTTTTTTTTTCTGAAAAAGTTGTCAATGTTCAGACATTGAAATGCAGCAGAAGGGCGGCGCTTTTTTCACTCACCCGTCTCGAAGGTGTACTTGGCCTTGAAGCCGCGGCCCTGCATCTCGCCGCTGCTGAACACCATGACGAGGCGCGGCCCGTCCGAGGTGAGCGAGGCCGCCGCCAGCGGGACCGTGATGCTCCCCGTGCCCACCGTGAAGTTGGTCTTCTCGCCGTCGCCGCACAGCTCGTGGTCGAACTTGTCGTACGCGTCCATTGCCTCCTGGCCCTTGAGGTAGATCTTGAGGTAGCCGTCGGCGCAGCTCCTGCGGACAAGGAGAGCAAGACGAGGACGCCGACGGTGAGCGCCAGTGTGAACACTCACTACCCACGCGACATAATGGGCGCAACGATCGTTCAGTCATCAAGCATTTAAAACCTTTCACTCCCGATTCGACTCGATTTTACCAAAAGAATTTTTTAGATTTGGTAAACGCACCGGGCGTAACAAGAGCGGACGCCGCAGTGTTGAGGGTCGCCCTCTCCCTCCCCGCTCCCTGCGGCTGGGTATGCAAACCTCTGCCTCATTCGCTCTGATTATAACACTCGGTGCAGCATAAGTTACGGCAATGAGAGTAAACAGAGAAAACGTCATAAAGTATACACGGCAGAGGCATTCGTCTCTTCAATTCTTTTTTTTTATGCCCAGTTTAGCAGAATCGGCTGCTAACACGTGATGTTTGGCAATCGGACGCCGCGGACGCCGAGTGCAGGAAAAAGTGGAGAATTTTAATTGAAAGGTTCGGATGATGTTCTTGTTTTGTTTTTTCCCTCAGCGCTACGCAGGGTAGGTAGAACAGTTGTTCTCCAATAAAAATAAAAAAAGCGAACGAAACAGACCGATTATGAACTCTGTGCAGCATTCCACCGCAGCGAAGCTTTCCATCAGAAAAATCTTCCCACTTGATCTGCATAGCGCGCCGCGCTTAGCTGCGCGTGGAGGCAGCAGAACACAACCGAAAATGTGTCCACAGGCACAGCAGGGTGCATAATCGCGCCGGGTGGCACATGTTTTATTCGTGCATTTCACCCAAAATTAAGGAACGTCTGAGCCTTAAAATAGGACCACAACGGCGCCCAAAACATTTACCGCTTTAAATGCTCTGCTCAGATTATATTGCACCCGATTATGAACACGCACATGATTTATGGGTACTTGCCAGATGCGAAAAAGTGTGCCGCTTGAGACTCCCTTTAATTTGTAGTGCGCCCTCGGGATCGTCGGACCATGACGCACTACGACTCAAGTTAACTGATCACTGTCAAGTCACTGTCATTTTATCTCTTTTTCTCCAAGAATGTTGTCGCCGATTATTTCGTTTTGATTATTGTTTTTCGGTCTCATATGATAAGTGCGAGAGAGATCGAGCAGCAGGATTCAGGGCCAGAGTGGTGTGCGAGAGTGGAAGGTGGTAAGACAGAGGGGCCTTTGTGTGGTCGAGGAGGACCGTTTTAAAGAAGGAGTTTATCACGTGAAGTCGAATCGATAGTTACGAGTTATTTTATCGTGTCTTAAGTTTAGTTCTTTTTTGTTGTTTGGTTTAACCACCAGCACTTTCTTATGATTTAGGAGGAAGGCGAGAAAAGGTTTTAGTGGGTTGGTACTCACTCGTTCTTGTTGGTGATCTCAAACATCATGAAGTCAAGCCGAACTCTTTCCAGGTTCTGCGAGTCTTGCATCCCGTAGATGAAGTACCGGCAAACGATCTTGGGCATGTACGGGAACGGGTAATTGGGACTGAACACAAAGCCAGACGACTCTTTTTTGCTGAGTATCTTTTGATCGCACTCAGATCCCCTGATGTGTTCGCCGTCGTTAGTAGCAATGAAATCTGGAACAGAGTTGGACAGATTGGGGTTTAGATTTTCGGAATTGCACGTAAAACAGGTTTTCGCCAAAAAAAGGAGTTAAGGTTTAGAAATAAGTTATATTTAGCTGATGGGATACACAAGTTAAAAGGGTAGATTGGGTATCGCTAGAAGTTTTCCATGTCTTCTTTAACGGGGGTAGGCGGAGGGTGCCAGTCTGCACCGTTTTAAAAATTATTTCGATCGGAATTAGATCTATGGATTAGTTGTAAGTAACAGAGTGTGCGTGCACCAGTGTACAGGAGCTTCACTGCCCCCTGTCGTCCAGCATTTCGTTTAAGCTTTACAGAGAGTGTTAAGTGCTTGTTTAGGCTGCATCTTAATCTTTTTCTGGGGGCTGGCCGGTCCAACACGTCACCCCCACCCCCCCACCCCCCACCATTTTTGAGGTGGTATGGTTCCCTTTTTTTCGGACCGGCGGACTCTTGTTCTTGTTCCCTCCTAAATGCGACGCGCTACACTACAGCACATCCACTAGGGTTGGAAATTTGCAAACTTTTCCGGAAAATTTCTGAAATCTTCCCGAACATTTCAGAAAAAATAACAATAAACTTCCAGAGCCTAGGAAATTTCTAATTTTTTCCCGGAAGTTTTCCACGAAATTTTCCCTGAAAATTAAATTTTCCCTGAAAATTTCCGTCAACTTTCCAGCGCTTTCCGACTCTAACATCCACGGGGACTGACCTAGCTTGACGAAGCCCTCGCTGAACTCGTACATGCCCTTGAAGCCCCTGTTCTGCGTGTTGGCCGCCCGCTGCAGCGTGCTGAACGTGACGTAGAGCGACGTCTCGCTCGAGTACAGCACGAGGTTGCGCTGCTGGCCGCAGTACGTCCCGATCACGGCCGACTCGTTGGTGGGCCCGTCGTACACCTTCACCACGTCAAACGGGCAGCTGGAACAAAAAAAAAACATAAAACAATGTGAATTGGAAAAAATAAAATAGTATGAAATGAGACAGCAACACCCAAACATGGCGGAGGTTAGTTGATAGTTGTGACTAGTACGAGCTGCCATGTCGTCCAGCAACCTTCTTAGAGTGCAGCTGCAGGATGCTAATGGCCAAAAGGTTTTGCGATTTTAAGGCCACCTTTCTTTTATCTTCCCGGTCCCGGCAGACCGCCCGGCAGACCGCCCGGCAGACCGCCCGGCAGACCGCCCGGCAGACCCACCTTGAGAAACGTCAGAGAGTCAACGTTTCCGACTAGCACATCTCTCCCAACTTCATTTCCGCCTTGTAAAATGAAAATCGAGAACTGCGTAGACTATTCCAAAAAAGAAAAAAGAAAAGAAAAAGAAAACTGTAAAAGGGGGTTGGACGGTTTCGTTTTTTGTGATGTCAAACCGATCAGCCCGCGCTGCTCGGCTCAGCCCAGGTCCGGCTGACAGACACTATTCTCTGATTCCAAAACTGAAACGCCAAACGCCAGTCGCGCCTGTTATAATCCCCTCCTCTTGTTGTTCTATTGATGCCCCGTTTGACGCAGTTGTTGGTATGGAGCTGGTGGAGCTGCATTGGAGCTGCCCCACCCCGCGGTCCCCTTTTAAAAATCCAGTGTCGCCAACTGTTCCCCGCGTTATCTACCAGAGCAGCGCTCACGCCGCGGGCTAACTGACTCCGCTCGCTGCACCGGAGGTTGACCGGGGGGCAGCAGCAGCACGGACGCTCGGCATAACTTGGTGCCTTTTAGGGGGGGGGGGGGTGAGCGGCTGCCCCGGCTCTGCCAATACGGATGACGGTGTTGTAGACGAGCCACGCCCTACATCAGGCAGCACTTATAGGGCATTAATTAATTTCTAGTCGAGACACACACACACACACGAAAGCGCAAAAACTTCATCTCCCTCACAAAAACACACATCCCGACAGTCCGCGCCGTCCTTTTGGCATTTATATTCTGCCGGGTCAGCGGGTCAGCACATTATATGCCGTTTCGAGGGCACGACTGACAACGCCGACGGACTTGGACATATTAGAGTTTGCAATCGGTCGGGCACGGCCAGCCAGGCGAGCTTAGCCGACTGTCTTCTGTCTCTCTCACTCCCATCTGACGTGACCCACTGCAAACTCTACCGGACATGCGCCAACTCTGCCCAAGAGATCTGGTTGTATTATAGTCTCATGAGACACACCGAAAATACCAGGTGGCTGATTCACGCCACCCCTAAAGGGTAAGCCTAACAATCTGAAAAGCACTACGCTCGTATAGCTGTGAATATCAATAGTTGCTGAGCTTTTAGCGTTGTACAAGTTGAAGCCACACTCACTGGGGGCCGCCGTAGAAGAGGTCAAAGTCGCGGAACTCGAGCCGCACGCGCTGGCCCTCCAGCCCCAGGAAGGTGTAGGAGCAGAAGAGGTCCTTGGGGTAGGCGCCCGGGTAGGTGGGCGAGACCAGGGTCCCGTTGCGAGAGGTGCCGGCCCTCACCGTGTAGCTGCAGGGCGCGTGAGGTGTGGGCGTGCCCACCTCAAACACGGCTGTCACAAAGAGAAGGTTTTGTTTTAAAAAATTAGTTGAAAACTTTTTTCATAATTTTTTTTGTCGAACTAACACTTTTAATTGCAAAATCAAGAAAAAAATGGTAATGAATACTATATTTTGAAAAACGATAATCTTGAACTAAAACTTGTTTCGATTTTGTTTTGTAGGACGAATAATTTTATGTGCATTTTAATTTTTTGTAGTCAGCACTCACAGTCGTTGATGAAGGTGTAGCGGCCCTGGAACAGCTCCGCCGTCGAGTTGGCCTTGTCGGTGTAGAAGCCCAGCGCGATGGTGCGGTGGAAGGAGACCCGCTTGCGCGGGGGGATGGGCCCGCAGTATCGCCCGCCGAACGCCGAGTTGATGAGGTTGCGGGGGTCGGGGCTCTGCACCTCCGAGTACACGTCCAGGTACTCGTGGATGCACCTGTTGTGGCACACGACACACGAGGGCGGCGGGTCAGCGAGAGAGAGAGAGAGAGAGGGAGAGGAGGCACACAGAGAAAGAGAGAGTAGGGTTGTAAATTTCAAAAAAATTCCAGAAATATTCCGACAAGTTTCCGAAAATGTTAGGGAAAATAACGAAAAACTTCCAAATTATCGGAAATTTTCCTTTTCCCCCGAAAATATTCCACTTTTCCGGAAATTTTCAGTTTTTCCGAAAAGAGAGAGACAGAGCAGGGTTACTCACTCTGGCGGCGTGCCCCGTAGGTTGAAGAGGCTAAAGGCCAGCTCGACGCGCTGGCGGGGCTGCGCCTGGAACACGTAGATGCACTGGCGCGCGTGCTGGTCGGGGTTGGAGAACACGGGCGCGGTGAAGGTGCCATTCATGGGCCCGCCCGGGCGGCTGGAGAAGGTGCGGTCACACTCTGCAAACAGACACAAAGAAGGTGCAGGGCGACAACCTTCACGGCATACGGCTGACAAAACAAGTAGTATGGCGATTTTTCACGGATATTTTTTTCAAAAAATTTTGTTTCAAGTTTGCAAAAAAAATAAAAAATGCACGTAGCCTGCTTGTGCTGGGAAGTTTGTGTGAAGGAGTGTTTTTGTTACACATGTGTGTGTTCTGCTTTCGTGGTAGCTCTGGTAAGACCGACCTATTCTTCTTTAGTATAACCAAAGGACCCCTTAATAGGTTTCGTTTTGTTTGTTAACGGTATAAATTATACACATGCCGTGTGGTACTTTTAATTCATTTCTTGTTCTTCTATCTAAAATGTTTTAGAGTTGAATCGAGCCCCCGACCGTTAGGTTTCTGAAAGCTTGTGACAAGATAAATTATCACTTCTTAAGTTTGCTGAAAAGACAGAGGCACAGAGACGATAACCCAGTGTCTGTCGTCCTTTTGCGAATAACTCACCTTGCATGATTTGATCTTCTCGAAGACTTTGGACTCCGCGCGTGCAGTTTGGAGCAGCGGACGAAGGGATTTTCTGAACGACTTACATCTAATATTCTTAAAGCTAAACACACTGAGTAAAATACTGATTGGCTGTTTTCTGAAGAGATTGCGATCACAACGACGCCTCAGGTTACAGCCCCCTCATTCGGAGAATGCGCGGTGGTCCACGCAATATCCTAACGTCTAATGATTATAGTAATAATATAGTACAATAGAAGTAATACAGCTCACGTCAGCGATGATTTATAAAGTGTAAAATGCGTTACTAAAACAGTCTTGTGCAAAAGTTGATGGGTCTGTGCAGGGGTTCATCAGGAAAATTAACAGGACAGAACTACGCTGTTGCGTAAATGATGACAACAATGTGTTGTTTCTCGTTTTTACTTTAAGAGATGAAGAGTCACGAGTTGATGACAAATAATAGCCAATTAAGAGAGAGAGAGAGAGAGAGAGAGAGAGAGGGAGAGAGAGAGAGA